AAGCAACAAAATATTGCTTCTGTGATGTGGAGAGCAAATATTTTGAGAATGATAAGGGTAGCGGAAATACAAATGTGTTTTATACAATTGATGTATGTATGGATTGTGATGGGAGTTGTATGAGCCCCCAATAAAATGATAAAAAAAAATGCTGCTGTGGAAAAGAATGTCCATTCTGAGGAACACTTATTTATTAATATGCTAAAACACATGTATTTTAAGAGGTAGCAGAGGATTCTCATGAGACCTTTACCATGACTACTTATTCTCAAAGCGAAAATACAAAGGATACAAGTATGTACACAGGCACCTGTTCTCTCTCATTCTCTCAAGTAGTTTCTAAAGAAATACCTCTTCAAAGTGCTCCAAAATATCCAAGGAAGTCATTAAGCTGTCCCAATCCAAGCGACAGGGCCCTGGACGTATGTGGTCTATTATATTGTTGACACTGTCATCTAGAACACCTTGGGCTTTATAGCTAGATAAACAAGATAAAAGTCCAATGTTAGTAGAATGAAAAATCTCAGCACACCTCACACTTCAGAGCTACTACAGAAAGGAGTGAAAGTTAATAGGGCTTTTGTCAAAGGAGTAAATCTCAAATCTTAAGTCCTCATTGTTTTCTTTAAAATCAGAATGTACTCTTTGGTTACAAAACAAAGTAGCAGTAGAAAGGCAGTACTATGTGTCATTATGAACACAGACATCCATCCCCATGCATAGGTCATGGAAAGCAAACCATAGAACACTGTAAAGCAGCATTTCCTGAAATGGGAGATATCATCCCGAGGGGCACTGGAGTGATCCAGGAGGGCTGCAGAATTAGATATCCACACATCATCCTGGATTAAGGACTATAGTAAAATGTCTTTAATTGCCAGGGGTGGGGCTTGAGTAATTCCACCCCCTCACCCACCGGCCTGGGAAAGAGTTTAGTCCATCAATAAATTTGGGAACCTATGCTATTATCTTACATGAAGTCTTCCAGTAGTGATCCTTTAACATGCCACTAGTGTATCTTCTCTTGACTTGTAAAAGCTTTTTATCAGGCATAGAAAAATAGACAGTGGAAGAGAACTAACTCAAGCATATCGGAACCTGGAGCATTTCAGAGTAGCACTATAAGTCAATGGTGAAAAAAATGCACTTTCTATTCCATAAAGGATGTCTGGTTTCAATAGTTAATCATTGTGGAAAAACTAAAAATTGAATTCTTACTTTACATCATTTAAATTAATCCAGCTCAATTAAAGCACTTTATGTACAATGTTAAACTTTCACTTTACATAGCACAAATTACAAGAAACCAGCTTTGTAACCTCAGAGTATAGGGAATCTTTAAGTGTATATAAGACACAAAAGCACAAATAATAAAAAGATTGGTGGAAAAAACTTTTTAAGTTCCTCAGTAAAAATTACGGCATAAACAAAAAAAAAATTTAAACATGCCACAGACTGGGAGTAGTTATGTGCAACACAGATAAACGTAAGTATTATGGGAATATATAATATATGCAATAAGTATATAATGAGATTTTTATTCTTGATAAACCTAACGCAAGGTTAGTTGTTCAAACCCACAAGCCTCTCCTTAAGCTGTCTGCTCCCATAGAGATTTAGAACCTCAAAAACCCACAGAGGCAGTTCGACTCTGTCCTGGGATCACGGACTCAGGATGGACTCAATAGCAGTAGTTTTGTTTTGTTTTGTTTTTTAATAACTCAATGGAAAAAGACAAGGCAAAAAAAAAGAGCAAAAACTATGTTAAGATACTCAGAGGAAATCTGAAGGTCAATAAACATTGAAAAGCTGTTCCACTTCACTAATTATCAATTACTAATGAAATACTATTTCACATCTTACATCATCAGAGACTGAAAATATACTCATTGTAAGTACTGAATAGAGGGAAATGAAGATGCTCAAGGTGTTACAGCCACTCTGTGAGGGCCATTTGGTTTTTAACTCATTGCTGACTCACAGCAATTCTACAGGGCAGGGTAACACTGCCCTGAAAGTTTCTGAGGCTGTACCCCTTTACAGGAGTAGAAAGTTTCATCTTTCCCCCCCATGATTGTATGCATAATTCTTATCAACCTAAATACCAAAAAAGAGAATTAAAAGTGAGTCATACTTGGTGTTAAATAAAAAATTTGTTTAAATAGAAATGTATAATAAAAAAACCTGCAATTATTACATTATGTGTTTGCCATTCTGCTTTATTATATTTGTATTGCATTATGAAGTTTTTCTTTTATTAAAGGATCTTTGAAAAGAAAATGAAATGTTTTTTGAAGGCAGTAAAATGTAAGTAGTCTTATGACATACAAGTAACAGCAAACCACACTTAATAACCATCTGGTTGGGGGTTTTTTATATCTCTGATCATTAGGCTACGTAAGGACAGAAAAGGATAGTTTGACAAAGCAGAAAGTGAAGGAGGAAGACCATCAAAGAGATGGGTGGATACAGTGGCTGCAACAATATACAATGATTATGAGCTTGGCTGACAGCCCCTAACAACTGTGATAATACATACAATATGCAACCATTTTGGGGGGTTTTAATCATTTTATTGGGGGCTTGTACAACTCATCACAATCCATACATCCATCCATTGTGTCAAGCACATTTGTACATTTGTTGCCATCATTCTCAAAACAAGCTCATTTTTTCCCTCCCTCCCTCCTGAACCCTTGATAATTTATAAATTATTATTATTTGTTTATGTCTTACACTGACCGTTGTCTCCCTTTACCCACTTTCTGTTGTCCGTGCCCCTGGGAGAGAGTTACATGTAAAACAATATTACTCTTTTATCCCCCCCACCTTCCTCTTCCCCTCCTGGTATTGCTACTCTCATTTTCGGTCCTGAGGGGATTCCCTTTGTTTCCCACTCTTATCTGTACCAGTGTACTTCCTCTGGTCTAGCCGGATTTGTCAGGTAAAATTGGGATCATGATAGAGGGGGAAGGAAGCAATAAAGAAGTAGAGGAAAGTTGTATGTTCCACTGGTGCTATACTGCACCCTGACTGGCTCATCTACTCCCCAAGACCCTTGTGTATAACATTATCATTCTTAGGTGTTCACACACATACATTCAATTTTGAAATTTACTGTTAAAAAAGCATTGCCACAGAGATTTAGTACTCAGGGGTTTCCATTGTTAGAAAAATATTAGACGAAATACTGTCTTGATAACGTTGTAATGCAGCTGATACAAAGCTGATCTATTTTTCAAAAAGGAAAGTTATTTTTTCTGATGAGAAACATCATCCGCATACCCAGGGACAATCTAGAAATCAGGAGTCCTCAAACTACGGCCCGAGGGCCACATGTGGCCCGCTGAGGACAGGCTGGGTGTTTTCCCCCCTTTTTTTACTTCAAAAATAAGATATGTGCCGTATGCATAGGACATTTGTTCATAGTTTTTTTTTAACTATAGTCCGACCCTCCAACGGGTCTGAGGGACAGTGAGCTGGGCCCCTGTTTAAAAAATCTGAGAACCCCTGAAGATGATCCAAAATCATCTTCCACAAGTGACACTGGCTAACAAAATGCCAATGTCAGTCCATTCTTCTCTATCAGCACATCTAATTAATTTTCAATTTGTAATGCAGATTAAAACTAAACCAAACTCATTGCCATCAGATCAATCCCGCCTCTTAGCAACTCTGTAGGACACGGTAGAACTGTCCCTGTGGGTTTCTGAGACTCCACATCTCGAGTAGGGGTAGAAATCCTCCTCTTTCTCCTACTGGTAGTTTCAAACTGCTGACCTTTCCATTAGCAGCCCAACATGTAATCACTATAGACTTAGGGGATTACAGTTGAGCGCATTCACTTTGTAGTCAGAATATATTTTTATGGTTTGTGTATTTATGTATATATGTGATGATACATCTGTAAGTTTATATGTAATGTTTCCACCTCCAAGAGACAAATTAAGATCAGATTTCTAAAGATTCTTATAGGAAACGGAAATAACGATCAAAACTAAATAAAAAATAAAGTATTTGACTTGCATCAGAATCGAACTTGGATGAAGTTGTTGAAATGGAACTCTGTCATAAGTCAGGGACCGGTACCTGCCTGTGCTCTATTACAGATGTTTTATAATTTAATGATTCCTTTATTGATCCATGTTGTGATGTTTTATAATTTTTAATATTATAAATAAATAGGACCTAATGTGATCTTTTCGGTAAGAAATTCTGGTGGCACTGTGGGGAAAATCCTTGCACCGCTAACCTCATGGTCAGTTGTTCAAACCCACAAATGGCTCTGCAGGAGAAAGATGAAGCAGTCTACTCCCATAAAGATCTGCAGTCCTGAAAACCCAGGAAATTGGACTCTGCTATATAACAGTGGGCTTGGTTGTTTTGTTTTTTTATCTTTCAAGTAATTAAGAAAATTCTTTTGAAAGGGATGCTAGAGCCCTGATGAAACGTAAAATATGGGAAAGGTCTTGTCTATCATGCTAAGCAATACCAGGTATCATCATTTCTGATCCCCTCACCACCAATTCAGTCCACACAGGACATAGACAGTCCTAAGACCCCAATTCAAAGGTCGATTAGCTTTTCAGAGAGTTCAAAGTCTTACAAGCAAGCAAAAGCAAAAATGAGCTGTCAACGACCATCTAAAAAACTAGTCTCTGCCATCAAGTTGATGCTGACAGAGTGATCCTACAGGACAAGGTACAGCCGTCCCTGTGAGTTCCTGGGACGGTCACTCTTCACAGGAAGACTGGAAAGTCCTGTCTTTCTCCCATGGAGTGGCTGGTGACTTCTAACTGCTGTCCTTGCGGGCAGCAGCCCAAGGGATAACCACCACACAGCCAGGGCTCCTCTAATGACCATCTAATGCCAAGATAAACATACAGGAGACACTGTCATGTCTTTAAGGATGATATAAAATGACAAGAATGGACTTACAGATATCCACTAAATTCTTCAGAAGGTTTCCTCCAAACAGTTACACCTTTCTGGAAAATAAGAAGAGTATATGATGATAATTACTTTCATAGGACCCTGGACATAAAACTAATAATTTTGTAAGATAAGAGCATTTTCTTTTACTTTAAAATATAGCAAGTAAATTCTCAAAAGAGACACATCTAAAAGGCATTTATATCACCAAATGATCCATACTGGAATGTCCCCTGCTTTCCAAAGTTTTTCTTTACATTTTGCCTAAATTAATAGACTTTCAAAAAAGATTACAATACCTTAGTTAAGACTCTAACACTGTTAGATTCAGTGATGGCACCATCTTATTGATTACTATTCATTTGTTTCATTCCAGTTTTACCTATTTAGCATTACTGACACCTTCTGACTATGATATTAACAACTCTAAAATTCCCTTCTGGACTTCTTCACATCTTTTTAAAAATTAAATAATTTAAATCTACTCCAACAGTGCAGTCTTGAGTTAGTCCTAACATTTTTTCTTTCTCTAGATCATTTTTCAGGTTTGAATCATAATAGTAGCAGTACATGACTACACAGTCATGGGTTCTAGGGCTGGCTGTCTCAACACTTGGTCATATTACATATAGCCTGGGTAAATCATACTGGTTAAAAAGAATACTAACCAGCTACCTCTCAGGCTTGCTGACATATCTGAACTATTCCAAACTATAAATTCCAAACTATCAACTCTAAACTGCCCTAAAAGGGTAACTACACCTTTTATTCATTAAGGATAAGAATTTATCCTTTAGACTTTATTGCCTTTATTCTCATTTCTAATATCTTAAAGAATAATGAAAATAGCACATAATTGCTATAGATATTTCTTCCTTTTTGATATATCAAACCACCTAATTTATTAATACAATTCTCTCTCAATGGCACAGCCATGCAAAGCATGGTCTTGTGTCTCTGCGGACATGCTTTTGATACCATGTGGAAGTCATCAACAAATTCTTTGTACAAAAGACTCTAAATACTCGTAATTTAACTAATTTACCGTTTTCTTAGCAACTCTCCAATTATCATCTTCAATGTTATGGTACTGGATGAGAGTGTTTTTAAGCTTAGTGGAAAAAGCAGCAGCATCCGCTAGGCTTTCCATTTTTGGTCCTGTTATAGAGAACAAGATTAGCTTCAGTATGTGCTACAGTTTGATGGAGTAGACCAATGTGTGGGTCTCAAAACTGGCTTCAATTAGAATCACCTGGGGTGCTGTACAAGCCACCGATCTCAGGTCCCACCTCATATCAACCAGTCCAAGTGTTTGACCAGAGCAGGTATTTTGTTTTTCCTTTTTTCTGAAAGCTCCCAAAATGAGTAATATAGAGCCAGAGATGAGAATCACACCTTTTGGCAGTTATTAGTCATTCATAAAAAAAATTAATGCCATTAGGTTTCCTTTCTGATCAGACTCCAATAAAAACTATAAGGATTTGGGTAGCCTAAAATTAAAAACAAAACAAAGTCCAAAACACCACAATGCTGTTTCCAGACGCAAAATACATAAGCCAAAAACTCTTTAAAAAGTACTAATTACTGCAGCCATTAAATTTTTTATTTTTCTATCCAAAAAATTTAGACTTCATTCCAACAAATAATACCTACTACTAGAAAGTCTCTCGCTATGTACTTTTACGTCGACATTCCCTAAGAAATTTCACAATTTAGAAGGGCTGGACTGTTCAAGGTGTTATTATTTCATTTGCTCTACTATTACAGAATTTAAAGGGGTAGCTGCAAAGGGGGGGGGTGTCATACAAAGACTTTTAGAACCTTTAATATTTGTCTCTTCACCGAACTTCAAATTGTCAGATCCAAAAGTCTACTCAGAGATTCATGCTTAAGTATCTCTTCTCTCCACTTGGGTCCCCTAATTTGCCTCAGTCTTACAGATGTTTGTTTGGTGTTTATTTTTTGAATGTGCAGTTTTACTGGCTCATAATCCAAATATCACACAGTTCAACAGTTCAATCATATCTAGAAGTGTTCTACAACCCTTACCACAACCAATTTTAAAACATTTTCCTATTTTGTTATTAGCACCCCAACCTTGAACTGAAGGTTGATTCCTTCCTTACACTCACCCTGACTGGGGTTCTCGCCCCACGGGTTTGCTTTCTGCTTCTGGAACGTGCAAAGCTTATCCTGTGCTGGGCTTTTGCACTTGCTAGTCTCCTCTGCATGGGCTACTAGTTCTCATATCTGGACATGACTAATAACTCTAATTGCCGATTTCTGCTTAACATCCAGTCCTTAATGGGGTCTCCCTCAAAAACCAGAACCCAAGCCCAATGACTGTGACTCATGACAGGCCCAAGTGTGACAAAATGAAATTGTTCCCGGGGGGTTTTGTGGTTGTGATCTCAGGAAGCAGATGAGCAGGTCTCACCAGGGCTACTGTGTGCACTCTAACAGCTAGCAGTTCATCGCGAACCATTTGTACCAACTACTTAAGGGCCTTGCTCGTCACTATTATGCCCTTCTTTTATGTTCTTCATAGTGTGTGTTACAATCTCAAATTACCTGATCTATTTATTGGCTACTAGTCTCTTTGGTCACTCTACCATCAACTAATAGATAGGACCCTCGTCTACTTTATTCACTACTAGATCCCCATCACCTAGAACACTGTCTGACACACCTTTGTTGATGCGCATTTGTGTCAAACTAAAACTGATCTTTGTGGTCTCCCTCCCAATGCCAGGGTACAAATTTCACAGTGTAATTCCTGCTTTTCCCTAGTAATTTCTCTACTCTTCCCACTCTAAAGTGTAAAATGTAAGAAGGCTTCAGTAAAGAGCTTTAGGGAAACGTTTACTACAGGCAACACCTGAGTTAGGAACATATGTACATACAATCTCTAGTTAAGAACAACACCTGCAAAGCCTATTGCATTAAACACTCCACATACATACAAAGGTTCATAGTAACAAAACTGAAAAACCAAACTCTCCCAACTCGTAGCAGCCTTGTAAGGTAGAGCAGAACTATCCCTTTGGGTTTTCAAGACTGTCAATCTTTCTGGGAGCAAGCAGGCTCACCTTTCCCCTACGGAGTGGTGAGTGGTTGTGAACCACTGACCTTGTGGTTAACAGCTGTTAATCTGGGTACTTTGGAGAAACAAATCCACAGAAACTCATGTATAAAAGAGTTTTATATAAAGGGTAAGTGCACATCAAGAAAACATTCCAACCCAGTGCTGCCCAAGCCCACAAGTCCAACATTAACCCATATGTCCAACATCAATCCACAAAGTCCTCCTCCATCTCACAAAACACACACTATGATGCCGACTGCAGGAGGAAAGCCAAGTCAGTGAATGTGTAAGCATCTCAGCGCTGTCAGGGGTCTCCACACGGCTGCTCCAACACCCAGGGCTGCATCAGGGTAGGTCCATGTGGCTTCTCCTCGGGGGTGTCTTGCAGGAAGTAAGTCTTGCAAGCTGAAGCAGGGAACTGCTAAGGCAGTTGCACCCTGGTCCAACTATCACAAAGCAATAGTCCCGAAAACTAGAAAGGCGAGACTCACCGAGCCATTTATCCCTCCGCCCTTCAATTAACCCCACGTGTTTATCGGCCAGGTTGGCACAATAAACTAACTAACTCAGCAGCTCACTGTGTAGGCCTCTCTACCACCAGGGCTCCTTTCATAAATGGGCACAAATTTGTGATGTTTATCAGAACATTATTACCATAGCATTACGTTAAATATGTTTTAGCGTACTTGGAATTCCTTAGTGTTTCTGTACATATACACTATACACAAAGACAAACATTTAATGAGGGAGTGTACTATTCTGACTTATGTATAAAGTCGACTTAAGGACAGACAGGAATGGAATATGCTTGTAATCCAGGAACTGCCTGTACTAAAAAGATTAGGAAAAGGTCCCAGTGAAATCTCAAGCTTCCAACTTCTACAGAAAAAAACTGTACTGCTAACGACTGGACACAGGTACCAGATCCATATTTTGGAGTTGTTGTTGCTGTGTTGTGATGGATTTTCAGGGCCGACTTGCAGATATTCTGATTCGATGGATCTGGATTAACCACAGAAATCTCTGTCCTTTAAACAGCCTCACTGATCAGGGTTAGTTGATCTAATAACTAAAGATGACAAAAATAAGTCAAAGTTATAATCAATATCTAGGCCAAAAAGAGCATGAAGTCATTAACATGGATAGTTATTAAAATTATATAGAAGCATGAGAAAGTATATATAGAAAATTCAGTGATGGGTGCAGCTTTGTGTCGTGTCTATGAGCTTCCACAATAGCACACTGTGGCCGGCACCAGAATGTGCAAAAGGTGATAGTGCAGCCCATCAACTTCACCTTCAGATCCTTGAAAAAGAGATCCAGGATTCAGGGATGGTTCTATGAGCAAGTAAATTGAATATGTGTGTCGAGTGGCTGTATCATAAACTATGATGAGTATATGAAGCTTGCATTCAATGACTCAGAAGAGATCCATTTTAAAACAAGGCCAAGGAAACCACTGGGATGGATCAAGCATGACTCAGCTGCTACAAAGTGTATCCAAATAGAGATGATCCTTGAAGCAAGAATTGAGGGCAACAGCTCCCCCCTCCCCCCCACCCTTTTAAGTGTTCATTGTTATGAATATAGCGCTAAACATGTCTTCATATTGTTTTCATTACCCTTATGTTCTTATTAAACCACAATAAATGGCCTCCAGGGGATGGTTTTATTTTGCTTTAAAAAATAGAAAATTCAATTACCTAGAATTTAGGATCTGTGTAAGTGATACAAAATATCAAGTAGGCAGATTCTACTCAGACTAAAAGTGGATGAGTTCATTCAAAAAGTCTGTAGGTCAGGAACATGCTCTATTTCCACTTCAGTGACTGCCAACTTGATCCCACAATGACCTTATTCAAGGGTGCATTATAAACAACCACACATTCTTAGTGATGGCTTACAAAGGACATCTAATTGAGCTATTACTATGATCATTATGATTAAGCAGTGTACTATAAACCCAAATATCAGCTGCCACATTCCTGTGGCTGCCTGATAAGAGGAAATTTTCAAAACTCTGATAAAAATCAACAATGAAATGGAAAGTTAATATTATCACAGGTAACACAAAACTTATGCAAATCCAGGGCAGAAAAGGTAAACAGCAAAACTTATCTACAAAGAATATCCAAAGCCTTAAGATGGTTCCCTGAGTGATCATTTACTTGTACTGATTTGTAAAGTCCAAATCCCTTATTATCGCGGACCCTTTCATGATCTGACACAGTTTCACTGAGTAATTTCTACTGCCCTTAATTTAGATGTCACGGCTGCAGGAAGCTTGTCTGCACTTCCCTAAAGATTGGGTCAGGTCATTTGCTCCAAAGTTCTCTCACAGCATCTCTCTACAGTAATTATGTACGGTCTTCTTCTGGTGGTGTAGTTGGGTACACTTTGGGCTAATATGTAACTGCAGGAGCAGTGCAAGCCCCAAAGTCACTCAGGAGGAGAAAGATGAGGTTGTGTGATCCCACATAGATTTATAGTCTTAGAAACCCCATAGAGCAGTTCTCCTCTGCCCTAGAGGGTTTTGATGAACCAAGTGAATGGCAGGGAGGTTTTCTTCTCTCAATTTGCTGCAAGAGCATTTGGTCAGGGGATATAGCCTGTTAAGTGCTGTGTGCCTATGTCTAGCACACAGTGGAAACCACTGAATGAAAAGAGGAAAATACGGGCATTGAGCTATTATTCTCATTTATAGAAGACCTCAAGTGAGCTAAGGCATGCCTGTTAACACCAGTCACCCTCGAGTTTTTGAAAAATGATTAAAACTTGACATAATAAAACATAACTTCTCAAGGAGGTCTACTATTAAACATTTACTAAGCACCTCACATGTACCAGGTACTAAAAATATAGACATGGATATGACCCAGCTTTGCTCTCAAAGTTCATCCTTTCCACCCTTTAATTAAACTTTGAACAGCAACAATAACAAAAATTAAAACAGTGAAAACTATTCTGAGCCTCTTTAAAGGGCACAGTAAACTAAAAGGGTGAGCATTAAGTTTAGTCCAACAAGGTATTTTTAAAAGGCATATGAATGTTTAAAATCAAGACTGGTCTACCCAGAAATAATGGTTATTGTCTAAACAGCTATGTCTCATGGACAGACGTGACAAATTGCCTCATGAATTTCTGAGACCATAACCCTTTATGACAGTAGAAAGCCTGGCTTTTCTCCCAGCCCTAAAACAAGTCAAAGAGATTTCTCAAAACAGAAAACGATTAGTCACATTTGCAGAGTGCCAAGGAACTTCAAAATTTTGTGAAAAATTTCATGACCTTTTAACAACGGTCATTTTTTCTACCAACTGTTTGATTCTCTCTAGCTTTTCTGTCTTATTCAAAGCGTGAGCTCCCTCCACCCTCCACCGTCATGCCTCAAAAGTCAGCTGTGCTTGATTGGGGAAAAAAAGCTAGAGTTCCAAGCCTAGCTTATGCTGCCATTTTATAATAGAACACATTCCTTAATTTTCAAAGCCTTGGTATATCAAGTACTTGGCGGGAAATCTGTTGTATGTTAAATTGAGACCATTCAGATAAAGGAGGCAGTTCTAGCTTCCTCTGGGTCACTGAGTCCGAATCGATTCAATGACAGTGGGTTTATTTTTCGAGCTTGATACATAACCGTTCTATTGCAACAATACTTAAAGTAACATTTAAATTTTAATGATATCATAGCGTTGAGTCTAAATTAATGTTCAAGTCCTTTATATAAAATTGCATTGTTGTTAAGTGCCATCAGGTCGGTTCCGACTCAAGGCGACCCTATGTACAACGGAATGAAACAAAAATAAATAAATAAAAATAACAATAGCTAACACGGTGATCACATTATGTAATAGGAGTTAGATAATCTGGCTACTTGTATTATTTAGTCCTAAACAATCTTCAAAGTTGATGCTACTTTTATCCCAGGAAGGGACAACAACCCACAAAGCGGTTACATCACTTGCCCTAGATCACACAGTTTATCAGTGCTGGAAGCAAAATCAAACCAGGGCATCTACCTTGAGCCCATACTGTTATATACCGAAGGCTGCCTTATCAGATGGAACAATGAAGTTACCTGCCAAATGCGGTCTTGCTCCAGAACCCAAAAGCCTCGGGTACCTTTCTCGATTTTAAGTTCAAAACCATAGGAATACATGAGTTAGTAAGTGTTGGGAGTTAAGTACCGATCTTGGAAGAAAATATGCATGTATACAAAATACTGGCTTTTGTCAACTGCTCACAACGTGAGGATGTCGGCGAACCTGAAAGCTCTTGTCTTTCACAAGGCTCGACGTGAGGGACTCTCCAGGCCTGGCCCTTGCTTTCAGTTGCGCTCTCACCCCTTTCAACAGATGAGGAAACTGAGACCCAATTGCGTCAAAATCCTCAAAGTGATGAACTGGGCAACTTCTGGGATCCTTCGGGTTAGTGCCTCCCCCTCCCAGGGACTATCTTCCCTCGCACCCTCTCGGACACCAGGGTCCACCGCCTCCAACCCCCGAGAGGGCCTCCCTCCTCACCCCACGACAGGACCCGGGAACGCGCGCGGCTGTCGGGTGTTCGGGACGCCTGGGTCACCCCCCTCGCAGCAGGCCCACACTTGCCGTGGCGGTGCCTCCCCCGGCGGGATCTTGAGGGAAGCGACGCTGTGGAGTCAGCTAAGAAACACGGAACACACCTCCCTCTCTGCTTTCTGGTCCTCTCTGTGCAGGAGTGGGTCCGCTCCCCAGCCCAGTGATGACGCATGCAGTAGCAACCAATAGGCGCCAAGCCACTGCCGGTCTCAGCCAATCGGAAGCACCGAAGCTCTGGCAGGCAGTTCCGCCCTCGCCCGCCGCGCGAACTCCGGGGCTTTTGGACTAGGCGGAGATGTTGGCCTGTGCAACGTGCGTTTGTTGGGATTGGCTGGCCCAGCGGCGTGCGAGGCGCTGATTGGTCGCCTGGAAATGGAATGATTCTGCGTGAATGTGGGCCGGAGGGACTCTGGCCGGAGTTTCTGGGGTGTGTAGTGTGTACTGAGGGTTTGCCTTAGTTGCAGTCCTGACACATAGGCAATGTGAATCATGCTCGGGAGCGTTAAGGCTGGCCCTAATTCTCAGCTGTGAGGATCTTGTTGCTATAGGGCACTATTGCTCTCACAGGGTAAAGGTCAAAAAACCCAAAAAAACATTAAGAGCCATCCAGGGCAGGCCCATGTGGCAGCTGTTTTATTTTTATGAACCCCATAAAATAGTCTGATTTTCAACTATTTGAAGATAACTAACATTTCTTCCGAGGAGACATGGGTTATGTGTTGGGCTGCTAACTGAAAGGTCAGCAGTTCAAAACCCCCATCTGCTTTGAGAGCAAGCTGTAATGAGTTACTGTAAAGACGGACTGTCTGAGAAGCCCACATGGACAGTCTGCCTTGTAGGGTTGCTGTGAATCGTGACCATCTCAATGGCACTGAGAGCATTTCTGCCAGTGATTGTGAAGTCACCCATTTGATTAGATGGTTGGCAATGCCAAAAAAGAAGGCTGTTCACATACAGTTATTAAAATAGGTACATTGAAGACCAAGAGTATGAATGAATGCAGTATTACATATTCTTTTTTCAAATGACCTAAGTAACAGTTCATCTTTTAAAATTAGCCTCACTAAAATAATCAGCAAATACCACTCGGTGTGGGCCAATCTTTATCTTACCTCACTGCTTCTATAGAAAAGCTGTAATGATTTGTGTTATTACATGTGAGACGGCAGAAAAGTTCTGTGTATACTGCAAATCCCTGTTCACCTGTTAGTTATTATTGACCAGTGGTTGTGGTGCTTGTTTGCTTGTCCATAAAAAGGAACCCTGAGATCCATGAGAGTGGTGTAAGTGTATTTGTGTAAAGCTCTATGGATATCATCTTCTCCAGTCCTCTTACCAGTAAATACCCTATCTGTATTTTCCAGATAAGGTGTCTGAGGGATGATCTTAACAATTTACCCAATTACTGAGTAGGCAGACTAGAATTTGGTTCAGGTCTGCTGAACTTCATGGAGCTCTTAAACCCAAAAAAACCGTTCTGAGCTTTGTTGTTAGGCACTTGCACACAGCAGGGTGGACCAAGAATAAAAGTCTTAATTCCTCCCTTAAGATTCTCACGACTTAATGCTGGAAAAGAAGAAATCTTCACAACCGCTAGAAAGTTAGTATTTGTTATCATTAGGATTCGGCTCTCGATCCACTGCTCAGAAGCTCTGCACATGCTCTCTGAGAATCCTGTAGAACATTAAACAAACAAACGAGGCTTTTATTTTGTGAGGGAGGTGGGCACATTTTCTGCCCCCTGTGACTTTTCTAGTTTGGGGAGATTTTATTTGCTTGTTCTTTATCTGTTGTTGTGTTTCAGTTGAGGAGTAAGAAGTTGGGGCAATTGAGAACTACCCTCTCTCTTTCAAATTGGAAAGCTGATAAAAAGTGAAGATTCAGGTTCAGTGGCGGGTGGGAAATATATATATATATAAATGTGTTCTATTAGTGAGGGCTTAAGATGGTCCAGCCATATATATACAACATATGTGTATATGTTAAGCTTTATACACAAGTTGATTCATATATTTCTGATACTAACCTAAAAGGCTGCATTATTAATAGTTTCATAATACCCACCAGAGAAGTGAATGTAGGGCAATGGAGAAGTCTCCACCCAAATCCTCACCATAGTTTTCAAATAAGGAAATAAGTTTTCCCTCTAGAGTTCAACTGCAAACTAAACTCACTGCCGTCAAGTAGATGTTGACTACTAGCAACCATATAGGACAGGGTCGACCTGTCCCTAGACTGTAACTCTTTATGGGAATCGAGAACTTCATCTTTCTCTTGCTCACCTGTAAAAGAGACATGTAACAGAGTTTTGTCACGCTAAAGAGACAACATCATTTCAAAGCCAAGGCCTGACTATAATCTGCCTGAATATTCAATATAGCTAAAGAAAGAACTGCAAGAAAAAACAGAATTATGAAACACGGGGGGAATATATAATTTAAAAGTAAACAAAACAAACAAAAATTTGTCCACAACTTTAAAAATAAGAAAAAATAATCTTCCCTTCCACCATACTTTTGTTTAAATTAGAGAAAACCAAATAGTACATTCCACAGAATATTTTTAAATGATAAAAATAAAACTATGTTCTTCAAAACCAGGGAATATGACAAATCAGAGGAAATTTTATAGTTTTAATTCAATTCAACAAGCATTTATTGAAGTCTTATGCTAAGGACGGAGGATGTGAAGACCTACGTCACAGGAAAGGGTTGTGCTACAGGTAATACAGTAATGGAAGAGTGTGGTCTAGGGGTATCCACGCAATAGGAAGAGGAGGGACTGGGGGTATACATGTTGCAAGATGGGCGGATCCTAGATTCAGGATGGCAGCCTCACTGAGCCTGTTTGACTGGTTCCCTGGCACCATTATCAGTAGGGTGTAAACTCCACCTCCTGGAACCAAATCAATGACTGCAGGCCATTGTCCTTAACAGCAGGGAGCAGAGCCTACCATAGTCTGGTGACTGACTGCCTCCAGGGCGGATGTCTGTAAACATCTGACCTCCCCACGTATGCTAGCAGAAAACTACTAATGTTTGGCATGTCTTTGGGGGAGACAAAGCTGGGGAAAAGTCTCTATAATCCCACAGTATGTGACCCCAATTAATTTTTTTAATTACAAGAAACCTGGTTTTCACAGCAAAAGAAGCAGACTGATGGTCACAGGGAGGCTGAAGGGAGCAACAGAGGAAGGAAAAGGTGAGAGGGAGGAAGAAAAACAAAGCTAAAGACATACATGACACACACACACACAGACACATACATAAGAAGAAAAGTAACAGAGCTACATAGATAGTAACACCTATATAATAACATAGATAGTATGTAAAAATAAAATTAATTTTTAAGGGTAAAGTGCTTTGATCACTTTTTGCTGTTTTAGGTTGTATATATATGAGGCATTATGAAAACAGCTTTGCTACTCCAAGTATAATCCACCCATGTATCCCTGTGTGATCCTATAAATTCTACAGCTTGCCCAGTGAGCCTACTCTGAGGACATGAGACATTGTCACAAGATGTTGAAATATATATATGTAACTCAATGCTATTGAGTCGATTCCAACTCATAGCAACTCTATAGGACAGGGAAGAACAGTCGCTGTGGGTTTCTGAAATTAACTCTTTACAGAAATAGAAATCCCACTCTTTCTGTTAAAGAACAGCTGATGGTTTCAACCGCTGCCCTGTGATTAACAGCCCAAATAATAGACACTGCTCAACCAGGGCTGTTAGTGTGATGGTTACACATCTTGCTACCAACAAAACGGTCGACAGTCCAGGACCACCGACTGCTCCGCCAGAGAAAGATGAAGCTTCCTCCTCCCACAGAGTTACAGTCGTGCAGGGTGCATTGGGAAGCGGGTTGTTGTTGATGCACTTAGGTTAAAACTTAGCACCCTATCATGTGATCTTTCTTATGATCCATCAACATTTGTTCTAATTTTTAATATTTTCTGCTTTCTTTGAGATTGAAGATTTTTATCTGTTTTGCGTTGTTTTTTTAAAAATGTTTTTCAGTATATGAAATCCAAGATAGATGTCTATAGAGACAGTAACTGCTTTCTTGGGAGTATGGCAGAGGTGGTTGGGGGGGGAATGGGGAGCTAATAACAGGTACAAGAATGAAAAAAAATGTTATAAAACTGATTGTGGTGATGATTATACAGCTCTTCTTGATGTGATTGAACTATTGAAGTGTACTATTGGGTCTAGTAAGCCATTTCCTGCCCAAGACTCATAGTCTCAACCCTATGCATTTTCATGACCATTCCTCAGAAATCGGTTACACATTCATAATCCCCTCAGTTTACTTCCTGGGGTACAGTTATAAAACTGCAAATACCCTTTCACTTTTATCCAGTTTCGCTCTTAGTTTCTCACCTCTATCAAGTAAGATCTGGGCTGGTAACGCACAAACCAGCAAAAATGGTATACACTGAGAGTTTGTTGTTGTTGTGAGGTGTTGTCCAGTGGGTTCTGGTTTCAATAGAAAAAAAAAAGTCCCCGTCCTACTCTGTCCTCATCATTTATTATGTTGGCGCTCTTTGTTGCAGCTATTGTGTCAATCCATCTTCTTGATGGGCTGCCTCTTTTTCGCTGACCCTCTGCTTTACCAAGCAGGATGTCACTTTCCAAGACTGGTCTTTCCTGATAACAGGTCCAAAGTATGTGAGATGCACTTTCCCCATCTTTGCTTCTAAGGAGCACTCAGGTTGTACTTCTTCCAAAAAAGATCTGTTTCTTCTTCTGAAAATTCACTATACTTTTGATATGTTTCACCAACACCATAATTTAAATGTATTAATTACTCTGAGGTCATCCTTTTTAATTGTTCATTGTTCAACTTTCATATGCATATGAGGTAATAGAAAATACTATGCCTTGGTTCAGGCACACTTTAGATCAGGGCTGAGGAATATTTTTTCTGCCAAGGGCCACTTGGATATTTATGATGTCATTCTCAGGTCATACTGGTCAAAACATTTAATTAACTTACCCCTAATGTTATGGCTGGAACTGCTTCTCTTTGGTGAAGCCTGTGATGTTAGAAAGTATTGATGATTTCGCAAGCATTATGTGGCCCGGGGACTGGACATTCTCCACCCCGACACCTTC